TAGAAGGAAATCCTTAATTAAGGAAATCCTATTTTGTGGGTTATTTAATCCTAGTTGTATTTTGTTGGTGAGTTTAGTAAATTTGGCGTTGCGGTTGGCGGTGCCCGGAGAAGTAGGCTATTTTCGCCGAACTCCGTTATCAATTTTGTGTTCTTTTATTTTTCGTCTTTTATTTGTGTTGGCTTATTTTGGAGTGGTGTTCGCCATATTCGTTGGAGGGGTATTTTTGTTCGCTGCACTTGTTGTGATACCCCAACAATCTCGAGCTCGGGTCGTTTACAGCTCTACGAAGAAACCGAATGCTCGACTCTCGCTTACATACTTGTACAATAAAATATCATAGTATTTAAAAATGAATTACATAATTATAATATTGTATTTTACGCTTATTCTAAGAAAATAGTCTTAACACCACACCGAAACCCGCTCAGAAATTTAGGACATGCTTGTTTGTAATTATTTCACTCATTTAATTTATACTCAATATCTATCTGAACTTTAACTCAACTTCACTATTCTTAATATTATACATATAATTAAATAATACAAATTAGTCATTTTTACACATCACATCAACTTTCTAACACAACTTCACTATTCTTAATATTATACATATAATTAAATAATACAAATTAGTCATTTTTACACATCACATCAACTTTCTAACTCACAGTTAACCACTCACATAATTTTAGCTACATATCATATTCAATCATTTATTTCCTACTTTTACATCAAATCAATTTTAATCATTTTTATTTTGGATATTATTTCCATACACTCCTAAAATCTCACTAACAACTAATCATATTATTTTTTTCAAAATTAAATCTGATTAACCAAAATAACTCATTTTGAACTGATTATTTAGTAAACAAGGACTCGCTCTTAGATTGTCATGTATCGAGTATCTTATTTATTGTGAGACCAACTTCATTGTGAGCCAGCCCATATATTTAGAAGTACTAGGCCCAATAACAAATACTAAATAATGGGCTATCATTTTCTTTTAGCAAATTGAGCACTTAGCAGGCCACTCTTGGACACTGGCAAATGGAGGATATTGTTTCAATTATTACAGTCCAACTCAAAATTTTGATGATAAGCACTTAATAGTTAATAATAAGCAGCTAAAACTTCAAAATCAAGCTATCTATCTTCTATTAATATTCATTCACAAGTAGGAAACACATTTAAAAATGATGAGAGGATCTCCAATTCTCCATATGCCGAGGGGAAAAGACTTGTAACGACACCAATTCAAGTTTTTCAGTTGAATAACACAAAAAATCGGACTAAAAAACGAGGCATTCGTGTTGCGAATTCTAACAAGTACCCCAAAACCGAGCAAAAAATTTGGCATGAATTCACACATGACACAGCAGCGTAAAAAAGATGAACAAGACATCTCGTAAGACTTCAATTATACTTATATCCTCGACATTCGTTCAAGAACCCATAAATTGCGGTATTGAAATTTTCCAACTAGTCTAATTGAAGTTCGATTTTGCCATTGTAACTAAAACTAGGACAAGCTCCCTTGCTCAGTTGCTCTAAAGACGATAAAGGATATTCTAATCCATAATCACATATTGATATGTACAAATCAACTTGTAACAATAACTCGGCTATTAGAGAGCCTTCATCAGTAAAAAACCAGAGAAACTAAAGTTTTAATGCTACCATTTTAGTGCAAACAAATCTGCATCTTTTAAAAAGCCAGCAAACCGAATATTCGACAGCTAGTATTTTGCTCCAATCCCATAAAACAACCAAACGAGCCAATAAATGAGCTTGGTCTCAGCTCATGCCGAACTTAAGCTGAGCTATAGAAAACTACATATATATTTCTATTTTTCCAATAGTTAACTAAACAAACTCCGAGCCGATCTCACGAGCATGTCGTATCGTTTAACAGCTCTAATCACCACATATAGTAGTTCACAAATAAACCAATCATAAGGCAATTCAACCACACAATGCCAATGTCAAAACCAGACAACGAACACACCCCAAA